TCATAGTAAAAAAAATAAAATAATTGTTGAGTCATAAAAGGAGGGATAAGAGTAACAAATTCAAGGGAATGAGAGAGTTCGCAGTTTTTATGCTGAGAGGGTTCTTCCCCCAACTAAGATCCATTTTCATCTCATTCTACTCACAGAAACCCTAACAAATTCATCTTATATATATATATATATATATATTGTAGAGATTATGATATCAATTTCATCTTTCACCTTTTTCTTTTCTTGACGTGTGTTATAAAAAAAATTACCACTTAAAAGTTGAAATTTCAAGCATTTTTTGTGTTATATAAAGGAACAAATTCAACTACATAGAATAAAATAAAGCAAGTCAATTAAAGAGAACGAACAGAAAAATAGAGCAAGTCAATGACACTATCATTTACATATCAGAGTTTCATAAAATAAGGGAATGAGATGAGAAGAGTACTACAATATTATATATGAGCAATGAACAATAGTGTAGTATTATTAGTAGAGAAAAAATGGAGAAGACAAGAGCATAGAAAAAAAGAAGATAAAAAACTCACTTAAAAATTCTTGAAATATTTGAAAAATCACTTCAAACAATCCTTCAAAATTCGATGGGTTTGGATGAGATTGTTTTATGAATCTGGTATTTATAGATAACACTAGAAAGTCCTTCAAAATCCCTCTCATACAACAATTCTTTAAAATTCTTATATTTTTGAATACCAATGAATTATTTTTAAGTCATAAAAAATCTCAAATGAATACCAGTAGATTTTAATGAACTCTTTAAAAAATCTTGAAAATCCAGATTGAATACCACTGGATTGTTTTTAAGTGACATAAAATCCTGATTGAATACCAATGAACTTCTTTACTCAAAAAAAGTCTTTTAAAATCCTACGAAATCCTAAACTAATACACCCCCTTAATTTTAATTTAAGAATTAAATTCCTCACTCTTATGTAATAAAGTCATTTTTATTTTAACAAGGACTTATTATCCGGATTTTATATCCTATACTGTATTATTCTAACCAAATGAGTCCTTAATTCAATTTCATGGAGATTAAGGTTTTTTTAATAATGAAAAATTATTGTTTAAGTAGTTATTCTAGAAATAAATTAAAGATTTAAACACAGATTAATTACATGAGATAATACTAAACTACTAGATACGGCTCAATTGTGAGGAATTATGATAATATGTACATATTATAAATTCAAATCTTGTCCTTGTCCTTACAATAAAAGAAATACTTGTGTGTAATGAAAGGCAGCATGTTCTTTAGCTAGTTGCTAGAGCCTGCCTAGCTACAAATTAGAATGTGAAAGGTAGGTTGGTAATAAGAAGTAAATGTCAATACTGATGATCTATCAAATGCAAGATGTGTTATTTTCACACCTATAACTACATATCTTCACATGTAGCAAGTGGCATGATATATTTAAATTTAATAACTATGTTTAATTCCAAGTTTTTTCCTTAATAATTGGATTAATCTTTTATTTCTACAAGTAAAGCGTGGGAAAAATGAGATGGGCACCATTTCTCCAAGAGAGACAAGAAATCTTGTCTTCTTCACGTGGGAGAGCAATCAATTTTTTCGATCCATGCACACACATTAACAATTCATTCCACCTTACTATTTATGAACTTAGTCATCACAGTATCGGATAAACTGATGGTGGGGTAGAGTCCCATATATTAATGTTTCTAATTTGAACAAACATGGAAGCTAATCAAGTTTAAAATGTTTTGAATTTGATCATGAATGGGAAAGGTGAGTAGGAGCCTACATCATGGTATAGTGAAGCAACATTAGGGTCACAAATTAAGATAGGAAAAGTGTTGGCAGAGGGAGAAGGAGAGGGTTTGTCCCTTCATGGTTGTTGCAACTCAAGCTGAAACCAAAAGGTGGTATGATCCTGTTACACACGTCATTAGAAACTGAGATATGGATACACTATATACATGTTGGTCTCCATATCCTTCAATTCTAGATCTATTATTCTTATATTTCGGTCCACTCACAGTCCCATTATCCCATACCTATATGTTGTTGTGACCCTTCATATAGTCTCACATGACTTGTTCCCATCGCATTAGCACATGGGCTTAAACACTGTCTCAACCCGGGCCCCATCAGACACAAGGCCCACTCTCCCTAGACATTGTTTTGTGCCACATAAGAGAACAAAAAAGAAGAACTAATTATGGTTACAAGTTCTTACTCAACTCAAACATGATCTTCTCTAGTAAAAAGTTCTTGTTGTCTATATATAAAAATAATTGTGATTGAAATTTAACATGTTATACATTACTTTTTAATAGATTAAATTTATCCTTTAATTCGAATCGAGTATAATCATTATTTACAAAAAAAAATAAATTCTTTGAATATCTAACACATTTGCATATTAAAATTTTAAAAAATTTATACCAATTGATATCTACATACTTATCAATACTATTAAAAAAATGTTAAGTTAGTGAATCTATTTATATAGTTCTTGATTAGTAAAAATTAAATTATTGATATACATAATATTATGAATTTATATTAAGTATTATATAATAATATTATTTTGATGTATCATATTTTTAAATTAGACTCGACTATATTAATATTTAATTTATGTTAGTTTAAGTGGAATTAAACTTAATCTTTTTAAATAAAATTTCAAACTCGAATTTTATAATTTAAAGATAAAAGGTATAAAACACTCATGATCAGATGACAACTATCACATGCCTTCTTTAGAATGATGTCTAAGTAGATGATCTCATTGCTTAAAAGATGACTTGAAAAAATTACTTCTCAATTTTACCCAACAAATAACCAAGACAATACAACCTTAGGCAAAACTAGAGTGTTAGGACTTTACATTACAAACAATATATGAATCCCAAGAGATATATTGTTGGATTTAGTTTATTTGTCTAGCCAACAAAGTTGACATATGGTGGGATCACCGACGAGTATGAATGTGGTTTACCTGATTAGACCTATTTCTAACACTTCAAAAAGCTAATGGCTCATGTGAATGACATGACTTTGCTTTAGCTAGGCTTAGTTATTTGAGCAACTTTTCCCTTTTATACATAGCACGTACGTGTTCTATGTGATAATTGCATGACATGAGGAGATGTGGGACAAATGCCTTTTTTATTAATGATTTTTCCTGTCGTCAAAAAGCCTAGAACTGTATTTGAAGAAGGAAAAAAAAAAAAGCAAAATAAATAAATAAATAAATAAATAAAGGGAATTTAGTTTCTAAAAGAGATTGACAAAATTGAAAATAATAATATTATTAATCTAATATATATATATATATATATATATATATATTTTTATGTTATTCCTTTGCATAATAAAACTAATACAGCATAGAATTTCCTATGCATTTTGTAAGATTTCTTTTTGAAGAAAGTTACGGTCTATCCAACATTAATTAGTCTCCATGAAAAAGAGCCTGCATCTTAAGAGGCACAATATGAAAGATAAGTATTAGAGTGATCAAAATGAAGGCATTTCAGTACATGACTATATGCAGATCTGACGTAGAAAGTTTTTGAACTTTCATCAATCCATATCCAAAGAGGATATTTTCTCATCTTTACATGGTGAAAAAGATGATACCATGCATCAAAGTCATGAAATAATAAACTCAAGCTGAACATCTCTCTACTTCAATTCCTTGTCTAAATCCAATATCGCTTTTCCACTTTCCATTTAAGCAATAAGTGCATTCTTGTCACGTGAGAATTGACAAAATTGTAGGAAAAACATGTTTTAGAGGAAATATGAATTGATTAAAACAGGAATCCCGAAAAGACTACATCTAAATTTGATGTGAATACTGAATATGAAACTCTTGGGAAGCATTAGCTATAAGCAAACCCTTAGCTTGATGTTTCTTTCGTAGTGTTACAAAAAACTATATTATTAGCTCCATTTTTTATTTTTTAATCTTTATGACTCATGCTATATTGCTATACCAATCTCACTGCTCCTTTGCAAGTCTAGTTACTCTTAAAATGCTGATACACTTCACATTACATCAGATCAACCGAGTCAAGAAAAAATATTCTTATTCTTAGGGTACTGATTCAGAGTACTTTTTTGTGTCCTTTTACGATAGATCAAGCGGATGCTTCTCAACTAGGTCATATAGTTCATCTCCAATTCCAAATCCAAGCATTCTGGCCATATCATTTGTCTTTATTTTAGGGTTGGGAATGTTGTGATGCTTCAACCAGGAATACACAATAAAAACTTTCTTCATAACAAACAGTTCCAATGCCTCCGGATTGAAAACAACCCCCATTTTTATATTCATCTGCAACATAACATAACATGCATACTGAGTTAGGATCAAACATGCTTTCCCTCTTTCTTAAGAATGCGAGTTTTGGATTTAACTCAATCTAACTCTGATACCACTTTAAGAAAGTAGATCGAGATCTAATTCAATCTTATAAAATTGGATCTCTATTTTATAAAACTAACTTATAAGATATTGATTACTCTCTAATTATATAATCTATTTCAATTATATCACTAGTTGACGTTTGATCTTTAACATTCTTTTCAAGAAACACACACAAGCATGCACATTATAACATCACCTGATGAGGAACCAACATAGCAGCATAACGAGCCAGCTCTCCTGCTCTCCAATCCAACAAAACTGGCAACCATGGATAAGTAGCATCGAGTCTCACAAACCATATCCTAATATCAGGATACTCTGATAATTCTCGAGGATCACGGGGATCTTCTCTAGTATAGTTGATGGTGAAGCCAATTGTGCGCTCAAGAAACTCTTTTGGTTTTACTGCAACATTAATTCCACCAAGCAGCACTCTCAAGTTAACTGTGAAGGTTAGTATCCCAAAAGGCGAAACAATTTTCAAGGTTCATGTTAAGTTGCATACCTGATAAAGGGTTTTTCATGCCTGTTGCAGCTTGAAATGGGGACAAGTCGAGACGAGAAATAACATCATTGTCAATAACAACATCAAATCGGCCTTCAGCTGGAGGCAGAGGAGGTGCAACTTTAGGTTCATCTGTCAACCAAAGTCTGTTCAAGTGTAGTATAATAGATTCCATTAAATGCATAGAGCACTACAAAATAGTAGTAGCACAATGTCTGCTAGCTTCTAGGACTAAAGATTCATGGAGTTGGTTCCTCCTAGTTAGTGGGAAATTAGGCAGAGTAAGAAAGTAATATAGTATCAATTCTAGATTTGAAATGGATTTATGAGGCAGTGTAATTCAAAGCCAGAGTGTATATACACAGTAAGTGTAAAACATTTTAATTTACATAAACATCTACTCTAAGATTTGTGTAAAAAGTGTATGCATAGAGTTTTTACACTATCAGTCAATCATAATGTTATATATGTTTACATAATAATTATATTATAAGTGATATTAACAATATTTTGTGATTAGGGATGCATAATGCATAATTGTAACAATATTTAGCATGTCATCCTATAGCTTAACTATTATGCTTTACAATTTATTCATGATTGTAAGATTTAGAAGACATAAAGATATGGAAAAGAAAAGGTGTTACCATCATCATCAAAGAGGGAGAGGTCGTCGAAGTTGGCTTGGGGGTTGAAGGCAACGGAGACAGCGACGTTTCCTCGGTGATGAGAGGGATGTTTGAAGGAACGAGATGAAGCGGTTGGGTTTGGTTTAGGGAAAGGAGAAAGAGGAAGGGGAAGCAGTGGTTTGCATTTGAAGGGGGTAGTAGAAGCCATTACTTTCCACTTTCCACTTTCAGGGAGCAATGCAAGCGGTTAATACAGTTTCTATCCACAACATACTCGGCCCTTACGTTTTCCCTATCCGCTTCTTTAAGACTCGCGTTTGGGCCTTTCAACAAAATAAAAATAAACAATTATTAATTAAAGTTTAATGAAAAATATACATTATAAAAAGTACTCACTTCAAAAGTGGTGAGGAATTATTTGTTTGGTTCATATATTATTAAATTTAACAAAAATAAAATAAAGTAGTAAATTATGAAAAGTTTAAATTTATAATGACAACATATTCATTCACTAACTTTCAACATGTAAAATCTCTTAATTTTTTTTATTCAATATTGAAATTATATAGTTAATTTGACACTCCTTAATTATATTTAAATTCTAATTTCTTAGAAAAGAAAAACTAGGTTATTTAAGAAAATTTTCAATTCCTTAATAATTTTTGTTAAACTATTCTAGTAATAAATATTATTAATATTTTATTTAAGTCGTAATTTAAAAAAAAAAATTAACTTCAATTAAAAATTATCAAATCATATATAGGTTGATCAGGCCACAATAATCATTAAGTACAAAAAAAAATAAATGGTTCTAATATCTATCTCAATCTTCAACTGTAGAGACTTAACTATTCATGATTAATGATTATACCATAGAACAAGGACCTACCTTTAAGTGTTTCATGATTACAAGAATAACTTCACAAAAACTATCTTTAATCTCTCTAAAATTATGCTTCAAAAAGTATTAATAGAATGAATTACAAAAACTTCTTAGGAACTCTATTTTTAAATCAATTTTTGATATTTTTTAGGTCAAATATGCTTGCTCAGAGCACTCATGTGGCTTGTTCTGAACGAGTTTGTGTATGCTTTCAAGGACATTCTTTGACTAGACTTGCTCAAAACGTTCTTGTGATAGCTTTGAGCAAATTTTGCTTGCTCAAAGTGTCCAAGCTAGTGTGATCCTCTAAGATCTTCTCTGACTTCACTTGCTCAAAGCTTTCATGTAGAAGTTTTGAGGGAATTTTACTTGCTCTAAGGGAGTAACCTACTTGCTTTAAGTGAGCACAAATCACTTTCAGAACTTCGTTTCTGAATTAGCATATTTCAGGTTAGGATTTGGTTGTTATAAGCAAATTTCACTATTTTGGAGCCATAGTTCTTTTTTAAGACTTGTAGCTTCAAACTTATTTTCTTTCTTTATTATATTTCAACAAAGAAAAATATTAAAAATATTTAATATTTAAACAATTAAATCTTAAAATAAAACTAATTCTTGATTAAGTATTTTGTTATAAAAACAAGATTCAGAAATATAAAATATATTAATAATTGTCTAAATTAAATAAAAATTGTATCCATATTATCAATTATCTGGGTATTTGTACCCTAAACCCCATATATACAATGTTTAGCGTAAGTTGAGATTTTCTGGCCCCAACTTCAGTAGTGCTGCTGCTATTTTTTCATTGGACTATCTGAAATAATAATTGTTTGCTAATCAGAATGTTTACTGTTTTAATGTAACAATATCAAAAGCACTCTTGCTTTTTGGGAGACTGTCTTCTTTCTTCTTTTTTTCCCTCCTTTATTAAGGCAGCATTGGTTTATTAATATTGAATAAGACTAAATTTGTAAGGAACGAAAATAAGTGCCATTGAATGATGTAATTTTTTTTATAAAGAAAAGTCCTTGCTGTTGTGAAGCTGCTAAATATCTGCTTATAGATATATGAAGAGATTGTAAAGTGGAAACCGTTAGAGCTTGTGTTTGCATTTGCAATATTATCCTGAATGAGTGTCTGAGTGTAATGATTTGTGATGATGAGTTGCACAGAATTTAAACAGTTCTCTCCTACCTGATGATTTTATTTTATCCCAACTAAATTGAGTTAATTCATGTTCATGTTCATGTTTGTAGTGTATACACATATACATGATAAATGCTGACATATATATATATATATATTATGTAAATATATGTTTGTGCGCGCGCTTTTACTCTGTATACAAACTTACCAGTTACCAAATATCCTGTTATTCTGTTATAGACACGGATAAATATATTTTGTAGATTGCTTGTTATCTCACAAAATATACTGTTACTGGTACTAGATCACGTGGCTACTGTGAAACATCCTTAGTCTTGGGACACCATTTCTTTGTGTTGTGGATTTCACATCTGTTAGTGTCGCTGGCTTTTCACCTTAACCATTTGAGTTGCATGTTCTTCCACATGTCTGTGTTACACCACTTAATTTACATGTTCTTCCACATGTGTGTAAAGTCTAGCAATGACACTCCCTATATCTGTGTCATGTCTGTGTTAGTTCTTGGAGAGACTAATTGATTATTTCCTAAGTTCCTATACGAGATATCTATTATAAATTTTTAAGGTCTTTTCAGTTTGCACTTCTGCATGGACCTATAGCAGTTTGACAGAAGAAGAGATTGAAGACCTTTGCATAATAAAGGACTTCTGAATGGGTCACATGTAAAAGTTGTGTGTGTAAAGTGCATCATATATGGATGCCAAACTATACATCACTATTCTGACAATACTTATAGAGAACATGATCCATATTGTGTAAATGCCAAATTAGATATTTGGAAAGTGTGGGTCAATATATATGTTGAGAGCTTTGTAGAAAATGAGGATCTTTTATGAGCCTTCAGTAGTTTCGTGAAACCGGAAAGGTCGTCACGTAATTCAACCGACATGATTTTAACCTTATTTCTTTTAGTGGTGCTGCCCCACATGACATGCTTCGATACATAGTAACCAATCTCATGTTACTGCATTGACCTTTATAAAAGTAAGGAGCAAATGAGCAATGCTATTGACACAATTATTGCAATCACAAATTCACACCATTTTACACCTGACCCTATTTTCTTTTACAAGTGGTCCTACTCTAATATTTTTCGATTAAAACTTGAATGAAGTCATGTGCATATGTAGTATGTGTACTCTAGCACCACCAAACAAAAATTAGCATATCAGTAGTAGTGTTTATAGTTTTATGTAACGAGTCATAAATAACATTATGTCCTCGTCCTTCCATCAATTGCAACAAGACAACGTGAGATTAATGGTAGTTCTAATGATGAAGAACATGAGATTTATGACAATCATTTAATTCTATAGAGGAGAGGGGATGTATTGATTCACAAACAATCACAACAGCTCTTATATGGTGAAGGGTGACCTTATATAAGACTTTTTTTTTTGTTTTTTATGGATAAAAGTTTAGGTAAATTGAGTTTCGGGAGTTCATCTGGACCAAATAGACTGCACAGCTCAAAAGATTGCTTATAAATACTTACATATTACACACCAAGAAAGTTTTTGTATCGACGGAGAGATTCAAATTCACGTTCTTGGAAGATATAAGACTTATCTTTACTTATAGTCGGTTTATTTTATACTAAGTTCAATATGATACATCCTCTGTTCATTGAAAACGGCTCTGCACGTGACATAGGGTTTAAAAATAAGGGGTGGGAAATAAAATAGGACATGTGGAAGAGAGTATGGGATTAAACTAGGAGGGCAAAGTGGAGGTGAGGTAGAATTGCAGTGGCCTCTGCAGATAGATCCCCTCGTGCGGCTCACCCGCTGACCCACACTTTGTCATTCTAATCTAACCTCATCATCTCTGGCCACTTCTGGATCTTTTGACCTTTGACTGCCACACACACCATACACACAAACTTTATAACTTGTATTGTATATATGATGAAAAGGGTCCTGTTAAAATTTTAGTCCTTGGATCCCTTGCACGTGAGGTCCTTTGCTGCTATGATACCATTCTGCTTTTCATGGCACGTGGGGGTGACAAATCACAATTCTTTTCTTCCATCAATTTTTATTTTGCCACCTGCCCTTTTCTTTGTCTATATTTTCCTCTGTAATTTGGTAAGAATAAGATATTAAGCATGTATACATGTAGTAGCATTAATTCTCCTTCCTTTGGTTGGTGCTGATTTCTTGAAGCTATTATGGACTCAAAGTTCAACCCCATTATGTGTTTCTAGTTACGAGGGTTATGTTCATTATGATAAATTTTATGCATCATGAATTTTATTATACATACATAGCTATAGTTGCCAAATTGCCTTAGAATACTGGCTAAAAGCTACTACTACTTTAGGAGCTATATAGAGCTGAACATAGAAGATAAGTTAAATGAGGAATCAAATTGTTTTACTTGTCTTCTCCTTGGTGAAATTGTTTTTCCAAAAGTGACACCACGTACTCCACTGTCAGGTATCACGCCAAGGCTAAGGATCACGTGAAAGTTGAAATGGGAATTGGGAAAACCATATAGCAAGGGTAAAGGGTAAAAATGGAAAGAAAGAAGAAAGACTAATCAATCTCTTATTCGTTCAAACCCCAAGAATAACCCTTGGTAAGAGGCTAAAGGCACAAGAAGCAAGGTCCTCAAAATTAGCACTAAATTCAGCCCTTAAAATAATTTGTCGTTAATTTTGCTGGTTAGTGCTTAATGAGTTGTGCCTGTCTGTCAAACGTTTGTTAGAAATTCTGATAATTATTAGTATAGTACACAGAGATTGGTTTAGTGGAGTGGTTGATTGGTTAACGTTGCCCATATTTGATTCCCCAAAAAACATGGGATTTCATCCTACATGTCTTGTTTCAGATTTTAGCTGGCTCAGTTTTGGCGATGCTGCCATCTCTGTAATGCCATATGCACAGCACATAGCACTAGGAAACATTTTTTTGCACTCAGTGGCTTAATAATTTGGTTCGGAAAGTATATATCTTCATTGTCATTGTTCTACTTAGTCAGAAAACAGAGCATGATGGGAAAGTTTGCCCAATAACTAAATTCATATTCTTTAGGTTTTAGTTTTGTCTTATTAAAACAGAAAACTAGCCCTGATTTATATAGTTCCTACATTTTCTAAGTCACCACCAGTAGAATTAGGACTTGAAGAAAATCTGCTTAGCTGGGACAAAATGCTAATTCCTGCTACCCCACTTCCACTATTCCATACAATTCCGTTGTGTAAAAAATGAAACAATCAAACTAGTCCTATAGATCAACAAAAACTTTCAATTGTTGTTACTAGCAATAACATTCCTAGCTAGCTGGATTCGAGTGTTCATGAAACATTACTTTTTTATCTTAATTTTTTTTAAGTACATGTCATAATCATGGCTAGTTACCCAGCTGGTCGGAAATTATTATCAAAATTTTGTTTGAATACAATTTAGAAATATTTTTTAGAATTTTTCTATTAAAAATAAATAATCATTTTCAATTAAAAATTCAGAAAAAACACTTCTAAAGGCTTAAATTATGCGATTTATGGTCAATATTGAGCTTACTGCACACCATACTTTAGTCTTGTTGAAACTGCCAGTGCCAGACTGTTTATGATTGTGTTTATGATTCTTAAAGCATTTGATAGGGTGCGCTAATTGGTTTTGGAAGCGTATTAGCGTATAAGTTTAAAATTTTAGAGGAAAACAAAATAAAATAAGCTACAAATTTCTACCAAGTTTCGCTGGTTATTGTTTAAGAAACTGTGTGAAATGACTTTTTTGTGATACGGGAGTGACCGCAGTTTATAAAATATAATTAAACTAACGCTCATGCAATGTTAGAGAACTGTTTATTTTGCCGATTAATGTTGTATAAATGATTAATGTGTGTGTTTCGGTGGATAGTTTGAGATTAATTTTTTATGCGTATGTTGTAAATTCGAAATTTTGAGATACGTTTCTTTAAAATACAAAAATGATTGAAGTACTTCTATGTTTTCTTTTTCACACACACAACTAAGATTCAAACTCTAATTAGCATGTTTAAGGGCTCAAGATAAAACATACTTTATTACTTCAATAACATCAAATTATTCATATTTATAATTGAATTTAATTTAATTTTCAATTAGAAATAAAAATAAAATGGATAATTGATGATACAAATGTAATAATAACATAATATGAATCTAGTGGGAAAAAAATATGTATAAATGAAATTTTACATTAAACACACTTGATTTTATACAGTAGCAAATATACACATAGACAGTATAAACTGGCACAATTTTTATTTTTTTTTGTACCAGATAAATGTGAGGTTAATTTATATTATAAATTTCAACCTCTCAAACAATTATGCTCTTGATTTCTGGTACTATGTTTTATGTTATGTCTTGCTAAGTAGGTAGATGATTGGTGTCTCTATGCTCTCATTGCTTAGCTTTGAAGTCATACAGTAACAGGCATTATTAAATATGGAATATGAGAACAGAGATGTGAAGAAGTGCAGCATAGCACAAAGGAAATTAAAGAAAATTAAAAAAAAAAAGTGTTTGGAGAAAAGGTGACTCCAAGTTCTGTTGTGCTTTCTCAACTAAACTGACTGACCCTTTTCTTTCCCTTTTTATTCTGATTAAACTTCTGCTCTGCTACTGGCCGACTTCATAATATAATAATAATAATAATAATATTATATGTCAAATTTAAATTAATTTACCCTATCTTAATCAAGGATATATGCTAGCCATTTACTTTTTCATTGGAAATCCTATTTGTCCCTTATTTTCAGCATACACATCCAAGACTCCCGTACTATTAAGCATGAGAATTTAAGTTTCAATTAATTAAGAAATTAAAATGTTCCTTTTTTTTTATATATAAAAATTTTAATAGAGTTTCCATCAATTTGACAATTAATCTCTATTAAAAAAATTTAGTAGAATTTTCTTTCTCAATTACATATTTTTCGTTTATAAGATTTGAACTGGAGAGTTAAAAATAAAGTCTGGCCCCACTCAAACTTCTCATTGGTATTAAAATATCCCTTTAACAAAGGTTGCACGAAAGTGGCCAGAAATGTTTTAAAATGAAATTAGAGTGTAGGAGTTGAACTAGCAATGACAGCACTCAATGACTACATTTGCACAAAAACAATGAAATTTAGCACTCCATTTCAAAGTCCAAAATCAAGTGGCTATTAGCAACTGGTTGTTTCCAAGATATATTGAATCATAGAGAGGTGGAGATTTATATAATATGGTAAAAAAAAAAAGAAAAAAAGAATTGCAGCTGGTTCAAGGAGAGTGTAGTTTAGTTTAGCAATAGAGCTCTTAAGCCAAGGAGATGAGCAGAGAATAGTTTAGAAGAGAATGGGAGACACGGAAACAGCGCCCACGTTCCCCTCATATCTTAACTTGTTTCTTTATGGCTTTCGGTTTCTCTCTCTCATATCATAACCCTTCCCCTATACACATATTGTTTTCTACCTATTCAAGGAATAAATATTAAATGCCCTCACTCCACTTGTGAACCTCCATAAGTACCCTTATCTCCATGCTCTACTCTCTCTTGATCAAAGCTCAAGGAGAATTTCAACACAAGTCTTTCCATGATCATGGTTAACTTCAATTCCCCTGATTTTCCTCTCTTTGTGTTTAAATGCTTGTTGCTTCATGACCCTTTTGGCTCTAGTGATGATTTATTAGCTTTGTTATGAATATAGGGATACCAAAAGCCTGCATGGTTGGAAGCTCTTTACACACAAAAGTTCTTCGTGGGGTGCTCTTACCATGAGAACGCCAAAAAGAATGAGAAGAATGTTTGCTGCTTAGATTGTTGCACCAGTATTTGCCCTCACTGCTTGCCATCTCATCGCTTCCACAGGCTTCTTCAGGTTCGCCGTTACGTTTATCATGATGTTGTAAGGTTGGAAGATCTTCAGAAACTCATAGACTGCTCCAACGTTCAGGTATACATAAAGTTAAATCAACTAATAGTAATGCACTTTAAGTATGATTACCTACAGATTCCAATTCAACTTCAATTTCCACCACAAAATAAGTAATTCAATTTGACATTGTTTGCTGATTCAAAAAGGTTTGAATTCTATATTATTAGGCCTATACTATCAATAGTGCCAAAGTGGTGTTCATCAAGAAGAGACCTCAGAACCGGCAATTCAAAGGGTCGGGAAATTACTGCACTTCCTGTGATAGAAGTCTCCAAGAGCCTTTTATCCATTGCTCCCTTGGATGCAAGGTACATACAAATATTTATACTAAATAAACAAAATCCACTCCTGTGTGTCTGAATATAGTAAGAATTGTGGATTAAAACTGATAGTTCTTCGGTGGAATATAGCAATCAAAATTCTTCAAAGTGAGTCACTTACATGATTATTTATGCACATATACTGATTACAATATGCAAGTAAATTGAAATTGAACTTCAATATATATATATATATATATATATATTAATCAAGTACGTGTCTTTATAGTTTGATTCTTGAATTATATAGTTAAAGAAGAGTGGCTATGATAAATTAGATCAACAAGAGATATATTTTATATCAGAAGAAGCAGTGACTAATCAGTATCTATCATCCGTATGAGAGTTTGACTAAGTATTACATAATTAGTTTGATGTTCATTAACGGTTAATGTGTGTATGTGTAGGTGGATTTTGTGCTGAAACACTATAAGGACCTCTCCCCTTACTTAAGGACATGCAACTCCCTACAGCTAAGTCCTGATTTTCTGATCCCACAAGAAATGGGGGATGAGGAGATGACTCGTTCAACGGTGGTGGATTATGATGAACCAATGAGCTCAAGTTCGGGATCATCAGGGTCAGAGAATAACATGAGCATGGCTTGCACAGAGATTGTTAGGAAGAGGAGGAGTGGATGGAGCACTGTGTGTGCAAAGTTTATGGCCAATAGCAATAAGGTTTCGGATGAAGACATGGCGACTAGCATGAGTAGAAGAAAAGGAATTCCTCATAGATCCCCTCTGTGTTAGCTACTACAACACTAATGAATGAACAAGCACCCCCCCCCCCCCAACAAAGGAAAATAATGGATTACCACTTACCAGTTTAGTAGTACTTCAATTTTTAATTTTTTAATTACTACTACTTATGATATGATATTTTGACTGAGGTGAAATGTTCAAAGTTTTCTCTCTCTCTCTCTCTTTCTCTCGAAATTGAAGTTTTGGTTTAATTAATCACTTGGTCGGGGGGTTTGTCTTAATGGCATCACGTGATTCCCAATTCCAAGTTATGGTCTGTACATTTATATAAGATATTATGATGATAATAATTGTGGTTAAATCATAGTCAAGAATCGTGCTTTTGACTAGACAAAATGAATCTGGAAAAAGGAACAAAATTGTAAAGGTGTCCACTTGGATACATTCTATGTGAATTTTTAAACCAACGGTCCTTCTACAGTAAAAATCATCAAATAATTGTGGATCGTGAACTTCTAAGTAAATTGAAAAATTAATATGTTATTTTCATCTAAAGATTGCTAAGAGCATTTGTTGTGGGTTGCTTATAAGTAATTTTTTATATTACATCATGTCATATTAATTTTTTTTTTAAGAACCGATACTTATATAAGTAATTTTAATAAATTTTAAGCAATTCACTTACTCTTTTTCAGGTTGATGTGACAAGTGAGATTGTTTATAAGGAATTCTATTGGAGATGCTCTAATATGACTAGAAAGTTTCACATGATTATTTATTAATTCTAAACACGTCGACAAAAAGTTGTATTGAAATGTTGAGGTTAAAATGAACTCAAAGAAATAAATTTACTTTATAATTTAACTGAAGACTTATAAATTATTCGCTTTAATTTTCATTATAAGGTACAATTTAAAAGATAATAATAATTTTTTTAATCTTTTGTTCATATTAAAAATTGTGAAAATATCATTTATTGTTAGATAATGAAAAGAGAAATTAAAAATAGATGTTTTTTCTCTTATCTCTTAAATTTTTTAATTATCATTTTTTTTAATATCTTTTCACATCTCATGAAAAATTTAATAATAAATGTGTTTGGTAAGATTAATTCATAAATTAGTTAATAAATAAAAAATAAAACGTATTTATTTAATAATAAAAGTGAGAAAATATCACGTTAGAAAAATAATTTTTAAATAAAAAAAGTTAGAAACAAATTTTAAGTAAATTAATAAAGATGAAAAAAGAGAATAAAGAGCTTATAATTTATAATCTATTTTAATTAACTTGTGAAAGTAAGGTATAATAAGTTTTTAAAACAGGCTCTCATACCAATCAAATTGATTCTAATCAAACAAATTTATAAACTAGCTAAAAGAATTTATAAGTTTCTTAAATATTTTTGGCAAATGCACTTACTATATATTAACGGATCTTATATAAGATCATTTTACTTAGTTCATAAAAATTAATAAATTTAGTTAACTAGTATTTCACTTTGAGAAAATAGAATATTTATTTTTATATAATTAAAATTTATAATAAATAACTATTTTAAAATATAAATTCCTAGTATTTTAATTTGTACAACATACATGATAAAAAAAATTTATCTAAAAGTTATATAAATAAATATTTTTAAACATATGAATTATATTTTAAATCTATAACAAAACATTTAAAATTTAAAAATTTGGTATTTATTTTAAAAATTTATTAAAAATTTATTTAAAAATAAATATGTAAAGGATAAATTGATAAATAATGAGAGAGTGACAATAACTTCTAAAAATATTCAAATTTTTAAAAAATACTTAAAAATACTCTCATTGAAAAACAATTCCTAAAAATATTATCGTTTAACATATTTATTTTATTTTAAATGAAGAGAATATTATAATTAAAATTTCTATTAAATAAGTATTTTTTAATATAGGTTAAATTATACTTTTGGTCATTTATCTTATTTATTATATTTATTTTGGTCATTTATTTTTTAAAATGTTTATTATGATCTTTAATTTCTTAAATTTGGATTAATTTAATTATTTTGAAATAATAATTTTTTTCAATTTTAAGACATAATTTTATATTATTTTTTAACTAATTCAATACTTAAAACTTGTCTCATTATATTTATAAAAATTGTTAAGTGTAACTAAAAATCAAATAAAAAAATAATACAAATATGATGAAAATTGCATAAAAATAAGTCCAAAATAAAATTAAAAATTTAAAAACTATAATTATGTATTATTTTCTAATTGGTTATTAGACATATTTTTACATGATTTTCAATATTATATTATAACTCTTATGAATTCAACCGTGAATTGAATTTTATAGTTTTATAACTTTATGAATTCAACCGTCAATTAAAAATTATTGTCATTTTGAAAGGATCAAATTAATTAAAATATAAAAGATAATAGATCAAAATGAACATTTTAAATTTTTAATAGATAAAAGACTGAAAAAAAAATCTAAAAAATAAGATAAAGATTCAAAAGTATAATTTTAATTTTAATATATATATATAAATTATGAGATAAGGTTATTTTAAGCATTTATATATTTTTAAAACATGATTATTAAATATTTAGTTTAAAAATATAGATAAAAATTATAAATTGAAAAGAATATATAATTAACCATATCAATATATATACATATTTCCTGGATTTTTTTAAATTATTATTAAAAATAAAAAATTAAGATTTTCAATTTAAATTTTTTAAAAATATAAAAACATTCCGTTATCAAACATTTTAAAAATAAGTTCAATTACTCCATTAAATTCATGAGTATAAATGAATAGAAAGTATATTGAACTAACATTAAATATAAATCTTGTAAAAAGAAATGGTAAAAAAACTAAAATTTAAAAATAAAAAGAAATGGTAAAAAAACTAAAATTTAAAAATAAATAGAGTACTAATATAAAACTATCAATGCAGTAGAAAGTATAAATGAACTAACATTAAATATAAATCTTGTAAAAAGAACATTAAATATAAATAATTTTAGAATGGAGAGAGTAATAAATATTGATTCTATAATTAAGCAGCCGCGTCATTTACTATTTAAAGGGAAGAAAAAAGTGAAGATTGATTGTTTAAAGATGTTAAGTAATAATGATGTCTTTGGATTAATGGAGTTTAGAAGCACTACTAAGTTTGTAAATTGGTCTTCTCCTAAGGATTTACATTCCTAGAAAATTAGCACATTAATTATGACATATGCAGGGAATCAATGGCACTGTTGCTATTCTGAATGTGTCACAGCCACGCATGGCATTGTCACATTATTATACCCATTTTTATGCAAGAGGTCTTCAGGTTAACTCCATAACTCAAACTAAATTAATTCAATTTAAATTAGTTTGTATATTTTATACTTTAAATTAAACTCGTCAAATTTACACTTTTGAAATCTGAACTAATTTGAATCAAATCAATAATTTATATATTTTTATTTTTATTAATTAACATAGTAAATATTATGTGTTGTTTTGATTTTTTTTTCGCATTGCTGATTAAGATTTTACAAATAAATCTTCATTGTTGATAATTTGAAATCCTTCTTCCTTTTGGTTAATTTTCTTTGTATTAATATAGATGAAATAGTATGATTTAATCAATTATTCATGTATTAATTTTTATAATATTATTTGATTAATGTAAGTTAATTATACTTAAATATGTAATTTACATTATTTTATGAAAAAATTATCTGTCAATTTTGAGATAAAATTATTTTTATTTTTATTTTTAAAAATAATAATTATTTTTTTATTTGATTAAATAATGTCTAATATTGGATTGATTTGATTTGATTTGGATTAAAAAAACTCTAAAATCTAAATCAAACTAAAGTAATTAAAATTAATTGTTTGAAGTTTCATTTTCACTCAAATACGAAACAATTGACCTATAAACACTCTTATTTTCATTAATCAACAACAAAGTTTTCCTTTCTTTCTATTTTTTATCAATAAAGAAATTAAAGACAACAAAAACAAGAGAAAAGCAATCTAAACTCTAAAAAAAACAAATGTCCTGTGAATTCGCTTGCCTAACACGAGTAAGTTTTCCAAATCATCCACTCCTTGTCAGATAATGTTTCATGCTTAACCATTGATTACTCTCCTCAAAATATGATTGAAAATTAGGTTCCAATTATAACCTTTAAAATTTTTTGATGTTGCTAATAATGGATGGATTTGAGTGTGAAAAGTCAATGCATAGAAGAAATGAGTTCAATATAACATGGGGTGGGAGGGAGGATCATTATTCATCGGTTATCGATAACGTTATTTATTTAGACTAATTTTTTTTAATAAAAATAATTTCAATTCGACATTCATACAGTAATTTATTAATTATACTTAGCTCGTAATTGTAAAGTCTCTGTCATCTGGATTTCTTTCTTGTTCATGATCCATCCTTTAACATTTTTTTTTGTTATATCCATTAACATGCAGTTAAATTAAAAAGTAAATAAAATATTTTAACCAGCAGTTTTGTTTGTTTCATATATGATAGCTTGTCTAGTATTCAATAGTTGCTACATTCTGGACTTCTTGCCATGAAGCCCAACTTGTCTAACCCCCAAGTTCTGAATTGTTGGGTCTTGATTTTGAACGTATTCATTCACCAATTAATCACTTATACATTCTCGGTAAAAAAATTTTTACACTAGCAACCAATCATATTTTTGAATAGTATCATGTCAGTTACTTATTTAATAAAATAAGTAACTTAAAAAATATAATTAATTACCAATATAAAAAACTTTATATTAGCAGTGTATGAATGATTAACTTTTTCATTCACTACCTGAATCTTTTCAATAATCTTCGTAGATGCAGGAGTATGATCATCTTAATATGCCCAATCTACATTTAATGCTACAAATCATATTATACACAAGTTTACTATAGGTATCAAACTCTTCTTAAGCTGGATTCTCAATTATTTTGACTCAGAAAATAAACTTGATTATGCTATTGGTTCACTCCCTTATTTTTAATTGTACAAATTTGATTTATGATTTCTATAATCTACAATTTTGACTCAATTATGAGTTTTGTAGTCATTTTGTTAATAAATTTTATTGACGTGTCATATTTAAAATGAAGTTGGAGCTACGTACTTAATTTTGTTACAATTTTTTCCCTTTTTTTTATCTATCATACTTTATTTGCTTTTATCTTGATTGTATTTCATTTTTTAAATTAATAAAATATTATAAATAATGTTAATAAATGAATAATGATAAAAAAAAAAACAAAACAGAACAAAAAAAAGTTGTGATAGAATTAAAAATATTAAATGGAAAGGGAAAGTCATATATAAGATGATATTTGTTTAAAAAATACTGCTCTTATAATTGAGAATAAAAAAAAAGTTATATTTAAAAATCTTTATTTTTAATTATTATTCTTATAAAACATATTTGAAAGTAGTTAAATTAAGAATAACATATAAGTAAAATAAAATTAAACATAATTATTAAGATAGTACTAATATAAATAATTTTATATTTTTCTTTCATAATATTGAAACATAAATATGTTTTTAATCCTTTAATTTTGAGGTATATATATTTTTATTCTCAAATTTAAAACTTGTGTTTTTAATCCCTATTTTTGGTCTCTCTAATTTAAAATATGTATTTTTATTCTCTAAAATATAAAAAAAATATTATTTTAATGTTTCTTAGTTTGTTAGTATCAATTATAATATCATTATATTAATGATTAAAATAATATATTTTTTAAATTACAAAGACTAAAAAATAAATTTTAACCTCTAAAAAAAATTAAATTTGAGATACCAAAATACAACTTTTTGATATTTTAAGACTAAAAGTATAAGTTTTAAATTTAGAGAAAAAAAACCAATTTAGAGGAATAAAAACATAATTAATTAAGCCTAACATTAATAAAATATTTAATTAATATAATATATTTTTTGAATATGTATTGAATGAAATGCTACTATATGTATATTAACCGTAAAACTTATTAAATTAATCTATTTAATTAAAAACTTATTATTAAATAAAATAAAATAATTAAAAATTTAATATCCATATATTAAATTATTGTTAAAAATTAATTTATAAAACAAATTTTAAAATATAAAATTCTCAAATATATATTAATATAACAACATACACAAAATATTATTTTGCGCTACGCGTAGACACACAAAAATATATATTCTACTTTTAGCGCACGTACACATAAAAAAATCTTTTGCACACACAAAATATTTTTTAATGATGTTAAATTAAATAAATTACTAAATTTTATATTTAAATATAAGATAAGTGAGTAATGTAATATTTATTTCTCTTAATAAAACAAAAAAAGTATAATTTACTTTAATAATATTAAATTATATATATTTTTTAATATGAATGCGGTGTAATACTACTAATATTTTCAAGAGAAGAAAGCGTAATATACACATCTAAATCTTATTTATATTGATTAGTGGGGTTGAGATATTTTGTGCCTCTCTTAAAAATAAAAATTAAATAATAAAAATATATTGATCTAATTGGTATTATGATTAATCCATTAATCTTAAGTTCTTAAATTTGATTAAAAAAATATTATTTCTAATTTTTTTAAAATAAAAGGATAAAATGGTCCATAAAATCATAGTTTTAAAAACCGGACCGGTCATCGAACCGGTTAAGGTACTGGGTCAGTGGGTCAAAGGTTGAACCGCATGACTCGGTTTTTATTTATTTCTATTAAAAAAATATTCATATTAAATATATTTTATACTTATAAATTTTAATAAATTTATATCTTATTTTAAATTTCAATTTTTCTATCTTATTTAAAATTATTTTTATTTTTATTTTGTAAAAAAATACATAAAATATTACATGTTAAACGGTATATTAATACAAATTAAAAATATAAATAATATGTACATATATAATATGTTTGCAATTAATATCACAAGATAATATATGTAATATTTACATAAATATTATATTATTAAATATATAATTTAAAATTAATAATATACTATAAAAGTTATTTAAGTTGTATATATTGCAAACAAATATATTAGAAGTAGTCATTGTTATATTTAATAAGACTCCTTGCTTTTCCATTAAGAAATTCAATTTTCATTATTATTTTTTGTGGTTTATGGTCCCTTAAAAAAATTATAAAAAAAAAGAAAAGAAAAAAAAATGGTTGAACCGATTTGACCCACCCGTTCACCGGTTGAACCAGAAAATTGACAGGTTCAATCCGGTTTGAAACGGGTTGACTGCATAACCGATCCAACTTAAGATTCGGACCGGCTGGACCACCGGTTCCCGGTCCAACCGTCCGACCGGCCAGTTCGGTCCGGTTTTTAAATCACTGCATAAAATATGGAAACCAAGTGGTTACCCAAAAAAATATATCCTTTATATATTAGTATAAATATTATTATATAGTCATCCTTTATGATCCACTTTTTAATTTTTTTAATACAAAATATTATATTTTATCTATTTTAAAATAAGTGTTGTGTTAGGTTATATTACATAAATAATAATAATAATAATATAAAAAGAGAATAATAATTTTATAAAATTAGATTTATTATTACTTAATAATATATTTATTATGAAAGAGAGTTACAAACTTAACTTTATTGTTACTTTTTATTAAAAACAATGAAACTCAACAACAATTTTTTAAAGAATATTATATTAATTAAAGATATAAATACAAAAATTGATAATTACATTACATTATTGAAAAGTTAAAGTGACATTTATTTTATAATTTATTATTTTTTTCTTATACGATATGAGTAAGTGGAAATATTTGAAAGTTTTAAAACTAAAATCTTAGTTAATTGATCTTTTGTACGCGTAAATAATTAAATGAGCGTATCATATCGGTTCACATTTTACAGTTTTCTAAACAAGTAGTATTTAATAATTAAACTAATTCACATGTTAGCTTCTACAAGTACTATATATTAAGTCAACTTTAAAAAATTGTGATTCCAAAACAATTAATTAATTAACTTCTTATGACAAATTCCATTTTCGGAAAAATCAACTTAAAATAGCTATCCAATATTGTTCTATAAATAATCAAGAAGTAAATCTTTTATATTATTTTTGTATATAAAAAATTCTCCTTTTTCTATTTCAGTGTGGAAAGAAAATTTGAAATTAAACATACAAATAAAGAATAAATAGAATTTAAAAAGAAAGAAAAAGGCAATGGTAGTTTTGATTTTGATATCACGTTGAAAAGCATGTGAAGCAGTGGCTTTAAATACTCCGAACTCCATACATAGAGAATAAGCGTTTTTGTGTTCTTTCTAAGTTTAAGCCACACGTCAATCATAACAGTAACATTACATTAAACTCTTAATCATGATGCCATGTTTCATCACATCAAAGTCAAGCCCCTCTTTCTTCCTTCTTCTCTTCTTCTGCCTCTTTCTCTTTCTCTTCTCAGCTTCTACATTCTCTAATGCACGTGTAACAGGTAATTCTTCTTCTTCTTCTTTTTTTTTTCTTGTATTATTTACGCTAATTCTCTGATATTAATCCAAGATTCTTTTTCTTTATAGATGGCGTTGGCGAGAAAGAGGTGGAGACGATGAAATCAATGTCGGAAGCAAAGAAGAACGCGAACATGAGTCTCGTGCTTGCCAAGGAAAGAACTCGCCGGAGAGATTTCTTTAACCATTTTAACCTTTACACCGGCGGTTGGAATATCAGCGATTCCGATTATATCACGGTTAGTCACTCTCTCATTCTCCGTTACCTCACGCGCTTTTGCCACGTCTTTGCATGCTTCTCTATTCAGTAACGCTAGAAATGTACTAATAATAGTATTATCACAACTAAGGTTTCTTTGTCTTTTTGCTTTTTTCTTGATTGAAAGAATATTTCGTTCTTCTAACACGAAACTGTTCTTGAAACGGTGCAGTCAGTTCTTTCTACGGCTGTTCCTTTTTTTGCAGTGGCTGTAGCGTGGTTCGTTGTTTTTGCACTTTTCTTATTCATCTGTGCGTGTTACTGCTGTTGTAACGGAGAGCCAAATGACTATTCTAAAACTCTCCATCACTTCTCCTGCATCTTGCTTATCCTCTGCACCATTGCAGCAATGTATCTCTCTTTCTATTTACTAGAATAAAAATAATATTTGAGTAAAACTTTTTTTAAACTTGTATACCAGATTCTTTATATGTGCGTAACTTTCTAATTAATGTTATATAATTGATTGTGTTAGAGGTGGATGCGCTGTGTTGTACGCTGGTCAATATAAGTTTCATGAAAGCACTTCCAACACACTTGATTACGTTGTGAGTCAGGCTCAATTCGTGGCGGAAAATCTCAGGAACGTGTCAAGTTCTTTCGATTCAGCTAAGCAGCTTGTGGTAGGGTTTCCTGTGCCTCTAGATCTTGGATCGGACCTTGATGGTCTAAACAAGAAAGTCACCACTGCTGCTCGTTCTATCTCCGAGAAGACTCATGATAATTCAAAGATCATACGCCATGTCATAGATGGAGTGTAAGTACGGAAAATTAAATTTGCATTTGGTTTTTGAAATGTTTTTTTTTTTTTTGCGCTTATCAACAATCGTTGTTGTGGGATCATCTGCAGGAGATTGGCTCTTGTTATTGTTGTTGCTGTTATGCTCTTTGTCACATTTGTAGGATTCTGTACGTTTTGATTTTGGTTTTGTCTACTTCGTTTTCTTACTCTATATTACCAAATTATGATCTCTTTTGTTTTTCCTGTGTTATCTTTTTATGATTATATTTTGCAGTATTTTCTTTACTTGGGTGGCAGTGTCCAGTATACTTGTAAGTTGAATTCATTCTCTTCCTTCTGCATGTTTAAATTGCTAAATTTTCTGCAAGTAAACCATGGTTTTTTTTGTCGTGGCTGCAGCTTGGCGCTTATTGGATGGATTCTTGTTACTGGCACCTTGCTCCTTTGTGGAGCATTTCTCTTTGTTCATAAGTAAGTGGCAATTAATGAAGTGATTATTTATTAACTGATTAAGAATACTTCATGCTTGGTGAAATTTAGAAAACTTAATTAATTTTAGTGCATGTATTTTTGCAACTAGTGTGACTGGCGACGCATGTGTTGCGATGGATGAGTGGGTTGTGAACCCCACTGCGCATACAGCGTTGGATGACATTCTTCCATGCGTGGAGAGTGAAACCGCGGTGGAAGCCTTGCTACGAAGCAAGGCGGTGGCACAAACTGTTATTCAAGTATTTGACACAGTGATTAGCAATGTGACAAACGGAAAATTCATAGCCAACTACAACCAATCAGGTCCCCTGGTGCCTCTTCTCTGCAATCCATTCAACAGCGACTTCACACCTCGGCAGTGTGCGCCAGGGGAAGTCACATTCGACAAGGCCACCGAGGTAACATAATTTGGAAAACATTAGCATGTTGAAATGAAGAGCATGGTAATTAAGTAACATATTTTTTTTGTGTGTGTGAACCAGGTGTGGAAGAATTACACATGCGAGGTGAATTCGAGTTCGTCTGAAGAATGCAGGAGTGAGGGTCGTTTGACACCAAGCATATACAAGAATCTGGCGTCAGTGGTGAATGTGACGTATGGTTTGTTACATTATGGGCCATTTTTGATTGAGTTAGTTGACTGCAGTTTTGCGCGGAAAGCATTCGCGGAGATTAGCAGCGATTATTGTCCTGCTTTGCGGAGATATACTGAATGGGTTTATTTGGGATCGCTTGTGTTGTCTGTGGCCGTAATGCTCTCTTTGATATTTTGGATCGTCTTTGTCAGAGAGCAGTGGCAACTTCTTCACCCCTTTGCTTATTAAAACCATGTTTTAATTCTTCTGCTCATACTACTAATGCAGTAATATATTCTTAACATGTCGTTTAACTGAAAAATTCCTTACAATGTCGATCGCCACCAATGTCCGACTCTTAATGCTCAATGTCGAAGGAAAATAATAAATGAGACAAAACTAGTGTGTATAGTAGTGTACTTGACAAGGGAAGAAAAGAATCTCAAGGAGAAAAAAACAAAAATATATTTTTGCTAGATAAGAAAATTACAGAGAAAAGAAAAAATATATGGGATTCACCTTAAAAAGAATTCTCTAATTTTGAAAGAAAATAAGAAAGTTGACAAAAAAAAATTCTTTTTTTAATTATTTTCCAACATTTTTTTTATTTCAAAGAATAAAATAAATTAATACTTTAAACTTATCATAGCTTTTTATTGATTTATCTATTTTTTTTGAAAAAATATTTTTTATATATATAATATAGACTTTCATTACAACATAAGAACACCACATCATCATCTCATCTTTGACAACACAGTAATGAAGCATCACAGTATATAACACAAATCAACATAATTCAACATAGCAACAGATTTCACCACAATTCAACATAATATATAAATAACCCAATCAACCTAATACAACATAACTATATACATCATCATGCATTTCAACTAAAAAAATCTCCTACAGCACAAGGTGCGGTTTAAGTGGTTTGATCTTATCGAACTGATAACATAGGATAATATTTTTGGGCTTGTTAGATCGATCAACAATAGATTGGATATAAATCCACAACATAATAACTCAATTTCTTGGATGTCACCACTTAAGCAAAAAAGTATAGTACTAATATTGTTAGGAAAGAAAAGTGGGATACAGGTCTATAATCAGTATAACTCGACCTGATCCTTATATCGTAATTGCTTCATACACGTGTGCTTCGACCTTGCCCATACATAATACCAACAAAGTCCTAGAAAAGAAACAACGCAACATCCACACTTTAAGGGTCAACTTCTCAAGAAGAGTTTTTAACAAATTGGTCTCTCAAAGTATCACAATACAATATCTACATGATGAGATGTGCAACTTTTAAAAATATCTCCTCTAGTCCTAATAAGTGGTCATCAATGCTTAATAACACTATAACTTTTTTACTTATTCAACACAGTAACAAAATCAACATACAACTCTACATCTCACAACTCAATTATTACTACTCATATTCAACTTCTTACTCATCATACATCTCAATGGCACATCAACAATATTCATATAGAATCCTAACACAACTTCACAACATACTACTTGACTCAAATTTCAACTAGCAACTCAAACATAATTACCAACATATAACTTATCAACATTTAACATATAAAGTTTCTTATCATACAATAACATCTTTACAACTTATTCATCATCATTTAACCATAAAACAACTCAAACAACAAGCTTTCAACATACAATTAATTCATCAAGCAAGCAACCAACTCAATTAGAAAAAGACTAAGTCTCACGCTCAGCGCATAACTCACACTTAGCCTCAGCCTTCTAGAGGCACATCTCAAGTCTCACACTAAGTGTGAAACTCACGCTCAGCCTTAACCTTCTAGAGGCACATCTCAATCCTCACGCTCAACCTTAACCTTCTAGAGGCACATCTTAGCTCTCACATTTAACGTGAAACTCACACTTAGCTTCTACTTCCTAGCAACACTTCCAAACTCTCACACAAAGTGTGAAAACTCATGCTTAGTGTCCCAAACCCAAAAACTCATACATGAACCCAATCTCCAAATCCTCTTAGCCTATGCAATAATCAAGACATGCAACCCCAAAATCTTTCAACTCTAACAACATATAACTCAGAAAATCAAAAGAAAAGTAACATGCATCAACCACTACTCAAAGAAATCATCAACATTTTAACCTCTCATCAAGAGCATCAAAACCTTAATTTTTAACATGCAACCCTTTTGAATCCATCCCCACAACTACATATTTCAGAAATTCTATCAACATTAAACTTTTAATTCATTCAATAGCCCAACGTTTCAACCAAAATCCAAGATTTTAGCTTCTCTTACCTTAGAACGCAATGAAACTAAAGAACTCCAAGCTACTCTAAGATAGAAGGAGAAGGAAATGGGCTTCGAACTCTAACATTCCGAGCTTTGCACCTACTCAACGTGATTCTTAGCTCCCAATTGCTTTGAATCATCACCAACTATAAAGTCTCAGAGAAGAAGAAAACAGAGTCTCCGAGCATGAATCTTCCTTTAAAAGTATGAGAAGAAGAAGAAGAAGTGTTTAGATATTTTCCCTTCTAAGTCATATCTTACACATGTTCATAAAAAAATTAATAATCTTAATTAATAAATCCTAGACATTCATTATATAATAATGACATTCATAATTAATTTTCTAGGAATGTATATGAGCTGGTCTAATGAAGATTTGATCTTGGTTCATGAATCCAGGTTTGACCCTAATAATGTGTTTGGATGAGGAATTTAAATGGAGTAATTCATTTATTTGAAAATTTTCAAATTCTTTGAGGTGAAATACCTTGTTTGGATGGAGAATTTATAAAGAATTTGAAATTCAAGCAATTTTGAAATTCTTTGAAATAGTAGAATTTTAAATTCTCCCAAAAAAGTAAGAATTTGAAATTTCTCATTTTTCTTCTTCTTATTTCACTTATATATTTTATCTCATCTCTTATATCTTCATGTTTTTAATTATTGAATATTCAAAATATTTTTAAAATTATTAAAAATTATCTAATATTAATTTTTAAAATTATTAAATATTTAAAAATTAACTAATATTTATTTTTATAAAATTTAATTTAAAAATCTCAACATATAAATCTATTTTTAAAATTAATTTTATCATTATGGAATCAAATTATCATATCTAATCTAATAACTTAAAATTTAAAAAATTTTAAATTGACTTATCTAAATAAAATATTTTAAGAATGCTAAAAATTAAAATCAAAGTAATTCAAATATTGAGAATTTCAAATTTCTTAAATTTGTAAAATTCTTCGTCTAAAAACAGTATAAAGCCAAAAAAGAGAAAAGAGAGAAAGAAGCGTCCATCCTTAGGTGGGCCTTGTATGTGACTTGATGCGGATCCATAAAACGACCAATGGTCTTGTTTGTTTGGTTAAACCTGCATATTGGACTTTCCTTTCCAACAGGAACGGTATTTTTGTAATGATTTTTTCGTATCTCTTTATTACACCACTTATTTTATTTTATATATACTTCTTCCTTCTTCTTTTTTTTCCTACCTATTTCTATCTTGTTGTGAAAAATGTGAGAAATTTTTGTTGAAAAAAACATTACTCTATAATTACGAAAGCGAAAAAGATTTATTTTAAAAAAATTAAATTAAGCTACTGTTTACCCCCCCTATCAACTCACTTTTCCAGTATAGTATATAGGGAACTGGAGAAATGTCCAACATTAGAAATAAAATGAAGGCTTGTGCTATATTATCTGTTTAGAATTGAAAAGCCAAGTTGGTTGTCAACATGTTAATGAGGGTGATATGATATACATATAATTAATAAGAAAAAAAGGACTTCTTAATTAAATATTATTTTAATAATAACTTTTTTATTATAATAAAACATAAAAAAATAAAAAATAAAGATAAGTGATGCTTTATGTCTTTAAAATATATAAAACAAATTATTTTAATTAATAGGAAACCGTTCTAATGACAATTTATAAATATGTTATTTTTTAATATTGATTAGAAATTTAAAATTTTGATTAAATAAGTCAAATTAATAATTTTCTTTTACTTATACTAATTATTATTTTTTATTAATTTCATGTTTAACTTGGTCATCCAACAGTCTAAAACATGTTTCACTTCATCGTCATAAAATGGATTGGGATAGGTTTAACTTGATCCTTACTCGATTTAAAATTTAGACGATGTCATTTATTTAACCAAACTGAACCTAATTAATCCTTGAGATTACACATGAAATAAGTCCAGTTCATCCTTATTTGTTAACACTTAATAAAATATATAAATTTAAATACCGTGTATAAATAAAATGGGAGAGTAGCAAAAATAAGTATATGCCAAGATGAATATGCATGTTAGACAATAAATATAAATGCAAAATTTAAATGATTATATCCAAGGAGATATTAATGTAATGAAAAAGATATCAGAATGTTGGTTAAGTTAATTTGAACACTGCTTCTAAAATATAAAGTAAAAAAGCTTATTTGAACATGTTTAAAAATGATCACAAGAGGCACTAAAGGTACTAATAAAGAGAGTGAATTACATTATGATTTTTAGCCTCAAAAAATGGATTGAAAAAGACTTAATTTACGTTTTTAACTTAATCCAATAAAGTATGGTTCATATAGTCAACATCGCCTAGTGTGATTGTTATTGTTTGGCATCGTTAATTAAATTATAAAATAAAATAAAAATGAAACCAAGACTAAAGTATAGTTTACGCTTTATTTAAAAAAAATAATAAAGCAAATATAAAAATATTGTCATATTAATATTATGCAAAAATAATTTTACCAATTAAGTTAATTTATTAATATTTATTATTGACGTGTAACTTTTGATTTTTTTTTAACAACAAAGTGAGATACCTTGTTCCGAAACACGTAGAGTTTAATTTTCGAAATATAAAACCGGTAAAACTAAATTCCGGAGAGGTCATATTTGGCTGAAGATAGGTAATTAGGTAGCGCTAGTACTACGCGAAACGGACTAAGCTTAAAAGCGAAGGTTCTAATGCAACAAAGTGCAACCAGTTTTGTTAAAGAACAAACCATTCTAGAATGATGTTTGGAACAAATGTGATTCAATTTCCACCCCACTGCTAGCTACATAACCCGGGGACCATAACGGATAGACATAACATAAATAAGTGGTTATCTATTTAGTTTGTTAATTATGTTATATTATACCTTATATCATAAGGTTGTAATATTGCATTGGTTGCAACTATACCCTCCCCACTCCTTAGGCTTTCTCCTTCTATCTACTATTTAAACGTAATCGATGTCATTCAATGAATCATACAAACTACAAACACTTTCCTTTTGGTAATAACTTTTATTGAAATAGCGTACAGTACTGTTTAACGCCACACATGATCGATCTGAATACCCAATAACCCTAAACGTACTTGAGAGAATCATTGGAACCTAAGTCGCACAAGAAAGAAGCAAGGCAAGGAGTCTACTTAATTTGACCCAAAAGTTATCCACATTCACGTAACAATTGGACCATAATTAAATTGAGTGTATGAGTTGTTGAAGGAAGGAAAATATAAACTGTTGCAAAAAGACAAACTAGCCCTTCTAAAAAGGGTTGATATAAGTCCCAGAATCTCCTACAAAATTGCGCAAGCATTCACTCAGAATTAATCTCCAACATCAATCTATTATTAAGAAAAGAGGCAGTCTATTTAGGTTTGGCCATGGCCTCACGAACATGTTTGGTAACAATGTCACAATATCCCCACACGAGGCGGGCAACACGCACGTGCGCGTGCTCACCGAGCAGACACCCTGGGTCGTTCCGATGCAGCATGCACAGGAAGCCACCGCGACGACCCTTGTCTAGGACATCCTCCCCTAACCGGTGGGACTCGTCCATGGCTGCAAAAGCCAATTCCTTGAAGGCGATTCTCTTGCAAATGCTTAAGCCCTCTAACCATGATGTTCCCAGGAGGAGGAGTTTTCAACCCAAGCCTTCTCGCTTTTCTTTGATGAACGCTAACGCACCTGCTGTTGCCGTTAATTGATGATGATGATTCATCATCATCATCATCATCCCTTTTCGCTTTCGTCTAACACACCTGTACATATCTACGTTTCATTTATTCTTTATTTATTTAATTATTACTTTTCTTTTCTGCTCGTGTAATTATTAGAAATTAAGATATGTATATTCTGAGGACTCGTCTCAATGATGACAAGTCAGATTTTTGATTGCTGGGGATTTGTATATGGAATTCAATAAATATTATCTTTAATTTATATAGCATTCTTCTTTTATTTTCTTAATTATTCACTTATTCTGTCATTGCTGCAATTTCTTGAGGACAATTAATCTTTTTGGTTGCAGTTCTTTGTCATTATAATCGTTTCTCAAAAAGAGATGGATGGTTTGTACAACATTGTGCCTACAAATTAAGCTTAGTAAAGCTATATTAACTCTCAGAAATGTAATAATTACGCTTGCAAGCATATAAGGATGAAGTAGTGAACCACTTCCAAATTATCAAAGAAAAATTTAATCATTCGCAAATCTATATTCTTTGAGAAAAATGAGAACGATAAGAAAAGAGAAAATAAATAAATACAACGAGAGTGATATGATAAATTGAAGATTTGAATTTCGTACATAACAAATCTCCATATCACTAGCTTCTGTCCAACGAGTAAGAGTTATAAACTTATAATTGGATTAGAGAAAAATGCGACATTAGTTGAAAGAATGAGATTCATTCGAGGATTTTAATATTTTTTAACTTGTTACTCTTTGTATAAATCAAATTTAAAGACACACTACTAGAATTTTTTTTATTACATACGGTTTTTTTTGCGAATTTTTATGAAAAATTTGCAGGAAACGATGTTCTTGCAAATTTTTTTGTGAAATTTAATTTGCAGGTAATACCTTCGTGAATAATATATTTTTGCGAATTTTAAAATTCGTAAGAAATTTTCCTGCAGAATTTCTTGCGAAAAAAATTCGCAGGAAAGTTTCTTGCAAAAAAAAATTGCAAGAAAGTTTCTTGTAAAAAAAAATTTCGCAGGAAAGTTTCCTGCTAAAAAAGTTTCGCAGGAAAGTTTCTTGCGAATTTTTTCGCAAGAAATTTTGCAGGAATATTTTTACGAAAAAAAATTAAAGAAATTACTATAAATTCTATCAATAATTTTTCAACTTTCAAATTCTCACAATGAATTCATCCGAAGCATTTGTTTCCATTCCTCCAACATGTGGTACATAATCTTTTAAATTCTAAGATTGTAGATTATAAGCTTAATACTTAACCATACAAATCAACTTGTAAGGTAAGTGTTGTCCCAACTTATATACTCTTTAATTGCTTTATTTTCAATCGATGTGGGACTTTAAGTTTTTTTAAAATATTAAACTTATAAATTTAAATATATTTTTTTTATTTTTCCTGCGGATTAAAATTTGTAGGAAAATCCGCAGGAAAAGTTACTTGCAAATTTTTTTTTACCAATTTAGTAAACATTACTTGCGAAATTATTTTTGCAAGAAACAAAATAAAATTCTTACAATATTTTCTGTAAATTTTTACCATGGAAAAAAATTTCTATGATTATTAAAATAGTAGCAAAATTTGTAAGAAATATCTGTAAATTATTTTTCGTAAAAAATTTTTGCGAATTTTTTTTGTAGGAAAATTTGCAAGAAAATGACATTTTTCTAGTAGTGACAATTCTTTCTTTATCAATGAATAAGAAATAATGAGATTAAAATTGTTAAAATATATAGTTTTGTTTTAAAAGTTAATCACTTATACACTGTCAGTGTAAAAAAAAATTTACATTGACAACCAATTATATCTCTTAATTGTATCATGTCACTGTTAAAAGCAAATGTATTTACAGTGACATGTATTTACAGTGACATGACACAATTAAAATATATAATTGGTTGTCCGTATAAAATTTTTTTACACTGATAGTGTATAGGTGATTAACTTTTTTTTTATAGTAAGATGTATTTTTATGTCGAAGAAATTAATCTCTTTTTATATTATAATTTGAAAAAAAATAGATTAAGTACTAACATTAAACATTTATACAATCACAAAATACATATATTTAATAAGTTTATTAACCTTTATGAAATAAACTTTAAAGTATATAAATAGTGTTTTCTGGTTAGTGGATGGTGTAAATATTTTGACACTAATAATATATATTAAACTCTTACAAATTATGTCTATCTGTAATTTTTTCATCATTTATAGTTCAGTCAAATTTTTACATGTATATTTATTTAAAGATTATATATATTAACGTATTCATTTTTAATGTTTTTTAAAAAGTTTGTATTCTAAATCTGTATTTGTACTCTATACCGGTACAGTACCGCATCTAATGAAGCGTAGGTTGAGATTAAAAGCTGAGTTGGTGTCCATTTTGTCTTTTCAACAAAAATCTTTCCAATTTAACTGGCAAACTGTTTCAATTGTAAATTATTGGTACGAGATTCGAAATTTCACACTACCACGAAACTTGGTGAGTCAACAAACGAGTAACCGTAGTTAAGAAAAAACAAAGCAGAATAGAACGCCATTACAGCTGGCAGACATATTAAAGTCGGTTCATATAGGTAATGTCATGGTGGATAAGATCATAATTAGTATTAAATTGGACTCATCAGCTAACATTATTGGTGAAATTTGCAACCTAATTTACTTTTTCTCCAAGACAGAATTCATGTCACTTCTAATGACAGTGACTTAGCATTGTCATATCAAAGTATCAAAGCGTTCATCCTTATTCCTTTTCACGAACCTATAGAAAAGTTAGAAATATTCAGATCAAACAGAAATAGATGCTATACACAATGTTGTTTTAAAATCAGATAAGATCGAGGATTGAAGTATGTATGCAAGGATACAACTATTAAGTATGCCGACTTGCACTTTCTACTATACAGAATCTTCTCAAGTTTACACAATGGTTATCCATTTTTGGAGCCAAAAGACTAAGAATTTGAATTAAGTATTAAAAGAAAATATATTGGAAATATTTTCATTAGTATATTGTCCAAGGTACTGTAATTCTGAATATCTATCCTCTGGTCTGTCTATGCTTTACTGCTTTCTATGCTCGAGCATTTTCTTAAAAAAATAGAAAAAAATTTCACTCAGGTAAAGACTGAAAGGATGTTTGATAGACAAGATATTAAAGGATATCAACTATCATATAATTATTATATTTTATTAGTTTTAATAAATTATTTGTTTTTTAGATAAAAAGACATAAATTAGTGTATAGAAGTTCATATTCCACAAAAACTTGAAGTACAGAGAAAGAAAAAATGAAATCAAAAAGTGAGGAAAAAAGGCTCAAAATAAAACATAAATATAAGATTTCTAAAATTAAATAAAAAATAACTAAAATAATCTAGTTTGATTAGTTAAGTAGATTGCATGAATTATTGTAAATTTTTCGATATAATGCTGACAAACAAAAAAAACAAAAGAAAACAAAAACAGTGCAAATTTAAATGATCTTTAAATTGATGTCTTGTTTGGTTAAAGAGAAATGAATAAAAAAAAGAAGGATAGAGACAGTGAAAATAGGAGAATGAAAATAAATGAAATTATTTGGTTAAGAAAAAAAATAAAAGGGTGAACAATTAAAAAGTGATAGATTTCACTCTTTTATTTATTTTTATTTATTTATTTTTCTCTCCTCACTTTTATATATATCTTATTTTTCACATATTTTATATATATATATATATATATATATATATAT